GTAAGGGTGGATTTTATCATGTTTAAAAACTTTTAGCAAGTATATATATATATATCTTTTTGTTTTAGAAAATAGAGTAGAAAGAAATGGAAAAGATGGTTGTAGTGGAGGGAGGCAATGAAAGCGGGAAGTTCTGAAAATGATATTGATAGATGTGTTACGTCATTGCCGTCCACAGTTTCTTTTTTTTTTCTTTCTGGCCAATATTTTTTTTTCTGTGGTCACACACATGTCAGAAATTCAACTGGCCAGACATATATGTGATTTCTTTCAGAGACACGTCAGTTAGGTGATTTTGTGTACACTTGTTAGTGATATGTTTAATTTGCTAGTGAAGGCTCTCTAGCTACAACATTCACTTGTCGTTTGTGATATGTATAATATGCTAGTGAAGGCTTTCTAGATGCAACATTCACTTGTCGTTTGTGATATGTTTAATATGCTAGTGAAGGCTCTCTAGATGCAACATTCACTTGTCGTTTGTGATATTGTGAAACTGGCAGGTTCTACTTTTAGTCTGGTTTGATATTTTTTCATGAACTAAATAGGATGTTATGATGATGTTGGTGATCATTTTCAAAATGATGTTGTTGATGTGTTCGTAAACAACCGTCAGTCTCGTGCACCACGGGGTCGTACCACTGGCTCTGGGAACAGTCTCTACTTTCACTAAACAATGTCTGCTAAGACTGAACAGTGTCTGCTATGACTGAACAGTGTCTGCTATGACTGAACAGTGTCTGCTATGACTGAACAATGTCTGCTATGACTGAACAATGTCTACTATGACTGAACAGTCTCTGCTATAACTGAACAGTGTCTGCTATAACTGAACAATGTCTGCTATGACTGAACAGTGTCTGCTATGACTGAACAGTGTCTGCTATGACTGAAAAATGTCTGCTATGACTGAACAATGTCTGCTATGACCGAACAGTGTCTGCTATGACTGAACAATGTCTGCTATAACTGAACAGTGTCTGCAATAACTGAACAATGTCTGCTATGACTGAACAATGTCTGCTATGACTGAACAGTGTCTGCTATGACTGAACAGTGTCTGCTATGACTGAACAATGTCTGCTATGACTGAACAGTGTCTGCCTTGACTGAACAGTGTCTGCTATGACTGGATTGCTATGACTGAAAAGTGTCTGCTATGACTGAACAGTGTCTGCTAAAACTGAACAGTCTGAGGCGGGAGTAGCGGTCTGATCACATAGTTCACATACAGAAACGTTGATACTCTGTTATACTGAGGCTGGTTTTCTCTCATTTGACTGCTCTCTATAGCTTGCCCGAGTGACATAGTTGTGGACTTCAAGCTGTGCGATAGACATGGTCAATTAAAACACCTTCTTAGAGGTGTGTAGTTGGTTACATTCTTAGTACACTTGTTTCCATAACAAGGCGCACACGCCATTTGGAGATGACAGGTTCGATTCCCGACACAGTAACTATAGATTTCGATTTTTATGTTGTCAAGTATGTCCTTCTTTCTTTCTACTTCTTTCCATGAGTGCCAAACAATACATTATCTGGTTTGTTTAATATATATATAATATCTCTATAGATTGCTGCGTTAGGCCTCTTGCAAGCTGAGTCATCCTGTCTTTTATTGTCTGATCTCTTCAAAGTGTTGTATGGATTTTTAACGTGGACACTAATAGTTATTATGAGACGGTGATTCCCCATGTTGATTCCGAGATCCCTTTGGGGAGGGGGAGGGGGAAGGGGTGGGAAGGTGATTTTTGGGGGGGGGGGGTAGACATACTCCCCCTAACAAGTGAAAAGCGTATCGTAAAACAGAGTTTGCTTAAATTGGATGTGTTCGGTCAAAATGTGCAGACATAGCAGAATAGCTGTAAACCGCGACAGTATACACCAACCACCCTTGTTGCTGTATCAGTAGCAAGCAGTCTGTAATTAGAAATAACGCTGACCACCATATGGGAATTGAAAACAAATGTGACGGCAGTCTATCTAATGTGACGGCAGTCTAGCTAATGTGACGGCAGTCTAGCTAATGTGACGGCGGTCTAGCTAATGTGACGACAGTCTAGCAAATGTGACGGCAGTCTAGCTAATGTGACGGCAGTCTAGCTAATGTGACGGCAGTCTAGCTAATGTGACGACAGTCTAGCTAATGTGACGGCAGTCTAGCTAATGTGACCGCAGTCTAGCTAATGTGACGACAGTCTAGCTAATGTGACGACAGTCTAGCTAATGTGACGGCAGTATAGCTAACATGACGGCAGTCTAGCTAATATGACGGCAGTCTAGCTAATGTGACGGCAGTCTAGCTAATGTGACGGCAGTCTAGCTAATGTGACGGCAGTCTAGCTAATGTGACGGCAGTCTAGCTAATGTGACGGCAGTCTAGCTAATGTGACGGCAGTCTAGCTAATGTCACGGCAGTCTAGCTAATGTGACCGCAGTCTAGCTATTGTGACGACAGTCTAGCTAATGTGACCGCAGTATAGCTATTGTGACGGCAGTCTAGCTAATGTGACGGCAGTCTAGCTAATGTGACGGCAGTATAGCTAATGTGACGGCAGTCTAGCTAATGTGACGGCAGTCTAGCTAATGTGACCACAGTCTAGCTGATGTGACAGCAGTCTAGCTAATATGACGGCAGTCTAGCTAACATGACGACATAGTAGCTAATGTGACGCTGTCTGGCTGAAATCATTCCACTGAACTGTGATTATAAAGCTTAACATGGGGGGTTGGAAGGCGGTGTGCAAGTGGGTAGAGTCATGTTGATATTCCTCCCATTTCTCATCTGACATGTTTTTTAATATATTGTTGCTACCATTTCTCATCTGACACATAATTTAATATATTGTTGCTACCATTTCTCATTTGACACATTATTTAATATATTGTTCCTACCATTTCTCATCTGACACATTTTTAAATATATTGTTGCTACCATTTCTCATCTGACACATTATTAAATATATTGTTGTTACCATTTCTCATTTGACACATTATTTAATATATTGTTGCTACCATTTCTCATCTGACACATTATTTAATATACTGTGCCTACCGTTTCTCATTTGACACATTATTTAATATATTGTGGCTACCATTTCTCATCTGACTCATTATTTAATATACCGTGCCTACCATTTCTCATTTGACACATTATTTAATATATTGTTGCTATCATTTCTCATTTGACACATTATTTAATATATTGTTGCTACCATTTCTCATTTGACACATTATTTAATATATTGTTCATCCAGTTTCTCATTTGACACATTATTTAATATATTCTTGCTACCATTTCTCATTTGACACATTATTTAATATATTGTTCATTCAGTTTCTCATTTGACACATTTTTTAAATATATTTTTGCTACCATTTCTCATTTGACACATTATTTAATATATTGTTCCTACCATTTCTCATTTGACATGCTCTCACGCATTGTCTTTTTCGTCTCTCCTCACTGACACGTCTACGGGTAACTTGCTGTCCTGTTGGTCTCTCATCTCTCCTCACTGACACGTTTACGGGTAACTTGCTGTACTGTTGGTCTCTCATTTTAGGCAAGTTGCACTGATTTATATGTGACAACATACAGAATAGCAGGCGCGGCAACAACATACAGTGGATGTGCACGATAAGAAACCTGCAATTCGAAAGAAAGAAAGAAAGAAAGAAAGAAAGAAAGAAAGAAAGAAAGAAAGAAAGAAAGAAAGAAAGAAAGAAAGAAAGAAAGAAAGAAAGAAAGAAAGAAAGAAAGAAAGAAAGAAAGAAAAGAAAGAAAGAAAGAAAGAAAGAAAGAAAGAAAGACAGACAGACAGACAGACAGACAGACAGACAGACAGACAGACAGACAGACAGACAGACAGACAGACAGACAGACAGACAGACAGACAGACAGACAGACAGACAGACAGACAGACAGACAGACAGACAGACAGACAGACAGAAAGAAGAAAGAAAGAAAGAAAGAAAGAAAGAAAGAAAGAAAGAAAGAAAGAAAGAAAGAAAGAAAGAAAGAAAGAAAGAAAGAAAAAAAGAAAGAAAGAAAGAAAGAAAGAAAGAAAGAAAGAAAGAAAGAAAGAAAGAAAGAAAGAAAGAAAGAAAGAAAGAAAGAAAGAAAGAAAGAAAAAAAGAAAAAAAAAGAAAGAAAGAAAGAAAGAGAGACATTTAACGAATGATTTTAAGAAAACAAAAGTAATTTTTAAAAATCAATCAGTAAGACACGAAAGAAAAATAGGCAGAAAGAAAATGCAGAAACTGAAGAAGGAAAGAAAGAAACATAGGAAAAACAGAAAGAAAGAGAACAAAAGAAAATATAACCGAGGTTTTTAAAATATTAAAAAAAAAAAACACACACACACACCAGGAGATCATTATAAAACCTCTCAGAAAATGAAGTGTGGCAGCAACTGGACGGGAGTGGGCAAGATGGCGGAGACAAAAATCTGCACAATCATTTTCGCGCGAAAGACGACAAAAACGTTTTTCTCAACATGTCACAGCATTAAGGACCTAGCAACAATGACGCCACCAAAGCAGCCAGGACACAGAAGGCATCTTATCAGCAAGGCCGCTATACTTGAACCATTCCTTCCCCAAATTGGAATGAATCCCCATCACTTTTACCCCCTAGTTGACCAACAGAATAAAGCAGTGGTGTCTCCAGCAACAGGCGTGTAGAACTACAGCACTCCATGTTTACAATTGATTTTATCGATTACATTCAAAATAATGAGTAATATAATTTTTTTTATCTACCCAATTTTTGTTTTCTCTGATGAAACATCCTTTTCTGCCTCCTGTCAGTAACCATATCTTAGTTCTGGACAACATGACAAAATCTTTGTGTTGAATTGTACGTTTTACCCATGTGGGTTTGAATGTGTCAATATTTGCCCCTCCCCCCCCCCTTTTTTTTTTTTTTTACTAATTGCAAATACAAAGACAATTTGAGAAGCCTTGCACCATCTTGTCAAACGACCATTAAATTTTTC